AAGGAAGGAACCACCCTAAAGGAAAAGGAAAACCAGGTCTGGTGTACAGTTCAGTGGTAGAGTTCTTGGGTGCTTTTTATCCTTTGATTTGCTTGTTGAAACAATCTCACTGTATACCCTTGACTGTCCTGGAACTCTCTATGTAGACCAAGCTGGCCTTGAACTCACAAAGATCCACCTGCCTCTGCCTCTGAATTGCTGGGGTTAAAGGTGTCACACTAGGCAGTGACAGAGAAAAAAAATTAGGCAGATGATCTGAATGGACATTTCTTTTGTAAGCACAAGGAAAATATTCTACAAGTCCTCAAGAAAAACTAAGGCACATCACATCTACTAGGATGACTGAAATCATCACTAAGAGACAGATAATAACATGTATTATACAGATGCAGAGAAACCCAAAACCCACATCTGGAGATACGGCTCAGTAGCAAAGCCCTTACGCTCAGGAAATGTTAGTCAGTGTTGTGTTGTTGGCCTGTAATCCTTTTTGTGATCCTGCCACAGCCAGAGTTCAAGTCCTGAGATGGGGAAGGTGCATCAGCGTGAAGAAATGAAGTAGTGTCTGGTCACCAGATGTGTTTCACACAAGTGTCTGGTCCCAATAGCTGAAGCCGTCTTTATTTATATTTCAAAAATAAGCATGTTTTCTCATACTAACAAACATGTTTTCCCCACCCCTAACATTAACCTCCAGTGAAAATAAATGCATCAAATATGTTTTTCCCAATTTTTACATCAAACTATGCTCTAAACCAAAAGTATCACTCTTATGATTCTGCTTGCTTGGCCTAATATGGAGTCAGGTACACCCTGTCTTTACAAAGCTAAAAGGTGACAAGCATAGGCACATTCTCAAGAGCACTAGTATCATCTAAAACACATCAAAGCACACTAAAGAAATAGGGTGATCTGTCATACGCTGTCAGCAGATGGTTGGTTTGAGTTCTTCAACTGCCCATTAACTTTTACGCCCTTCCATCCTGTAAGCCCTGAATCAGGACAGCTCCCAGGGTCTGGAGTGACAGCTGGCATCCCCAGACAAGAAACCTGAGAATCATCAGCTTCCAAATTTAGGGTAAAATATTTGAGGAAAAAAATGGGTTTTCCAGAAATGATCACATCTGTCCCCGGCATGACTGACAGCGTGACACTAAGAGTCACCAAGAGTGCGAGAAGGAAGAGAGCACACAGGCCTTGAGACACCAGTAGTATTCTGTGCCGTCCCAAAGTCCACTTGTCCTTGCCAAGTGACAGTGTCTCCTTGGCTTTTCGTCATGGAGACCCGTTGGGCAAGCACTCATGTACTGGTTGGAAACTAGGCCACATGGCTCCCAACATAATCCCAACACTCAAGCGTAGGACAAAGTATCAGGAGTTCAAGGCCATCATTGGATATAAAATGAGGTGGAGGCAAGCCTGGGCTACAGGAGACCCCGTGAGCAACAGAAATAAAAGCACAGAATGCTGCAGGAGATGTAAATGAGAAGTAACTTTACAAGACAGGCCAGCAGTTCTTTGACTTATGCTTTAGTTTTAAGCAGGGTCTCCTTGAACTCATGATGAACCCACTCTAACCTCCCAAATGCTGGGGTCACAAGCATGTGCCACCATGCCTAGCTTGTATGTCTTTTTATTTTTATTTGATTTTTTTTAGTTTTTACTTTAAATAATTATGTACCTCCTTAAAATTGTCATTGGTTTCATTCATTGTACATGGTACTGGATTCCATAAGGACATTATCAAACAAGTACAGATGATACTTTGAGCATATTATTTCACCCCATACTCCCTATTCTTCCCTTTCTTACCCCCCTCTGTTACTTCCCTATGTTACTCTACCAAGTAAGTTGACCCTGTCTGGGGATCACATGTGCTCCAGGGTAGCTATGAATGTGACCCAACACAAAATTATAAACTTACTTAAAACATTGTGAGATTGTTTCTGCATTTGTTTTGTAAGTCGATTGTATGGTTCTGAAGTATAGACATTGTTGCAATAGAAAAAGATTGGACATGTCTGGAAGTTTCAGTCCTGTTTTGAAAAGGTGTTTTCTTGGGCCGGGTGTGATGATACATACCTTTAAGCCCAATATTCCGTAGACAGAGAAGGGTTTTCTTTAAGAGTTCATTACTGGTTGGGTGCATGGCCATGTCGGAGGAGCAGCAGGTGGCAATTGAAGCTCAGGTGTCAGCCCACCAGGAGGAGAATCCCTGATGCGTGACTCTCAGACAGGCCGTGAGAACACAGACTCCAGAGAGTCCTTTGCCTCTGCTGCACCTGCACGTTTGCTGGTGCCATCTTTCTCTGGCATCTGGCATGGTGTGACTGGGTGTGGAGAGATCCCACACTACTGCCTGTAATGCAGTGTGTTCGTCTCACGGAAACACCCATTCTACTGGGCATGTTTATCTGCGGATTATTATGAAGATGGTTTCTTCCTAAGCTGTACTGTCTCATTGGTAATAATAATGTTAGTTTAAATAGAGTTTTGATGATAAAGAATATAAACAAGGAAGTGTCACACAGCTAAAACTCATGAGGAGCTGTGGAGACTGTGACTTGGGTTGATGACTAAGAAAAACAATTGAGTCCCAGTAGCCCAGCTAGCTTAAATTCTATTACTTTAGTGTTGGGAGATGTGTTCACAGGTGTCAGAGTGTGTTATAGCTGAAACAAAGCTTTGAAAATGAATTTCAAAGTTAGATTAAGATGTTTTTGTCAACTATCCTTGAAGTGGAAAACCCAAGAAGACAATCTAAAGTTTTAGAAAGGAACATAGCTGAATAAGGGACTCACTAAGGCCAGGGAACAAATACAGAGCAGCCCAATTATTACTAGCTGACATACTTTCCTTGTTAGGGTTAGGTTGGTTGGTGATCAAAGGTGATGATTAATTCCTTGTACCCATTTTTGCCCTCAATCTTTTGATATATGAAACTATTGGGCCTGGCAGTGGTGGCACACGCCTTTAATCCCAGCACTTGGGAGATAGAGGTAGGTGGGTCTCTGTGAGTTCGAGACCAGCTTGGTCTACAAAAGCTAGTTCCAAGACAGGCTCCAAAGCTACACAGAGAAAACCTGTGGATCTCAATCAACCCCTTTAGGATGTGGGATGATCCTTTCACAGGGGTCACCATCAGGAAACTCAGATATTTACATGATTCCTAACAGTAGAAAAATTAGTTATGTAGTAGCAACAAAATAATTGTATGGTTGGGGGCACCACGGCATGAGGAACTGTAGTAAATGGTCACAGCATTAGGGAGGTTGAGAACCACTGCTCGTGACAGTTGCTGATCCAGAAACTGACTGACTAGACTGCCATGGTTAGGAGAAGGGTGCTTATTGGGCACAGAGTTTCTTTGAAGGGGTGAACTATTCTGGATCTGATAGTTGTCTATCATCTTTGTTAATTGCATACTTATGACTGCAGCACAAATAATAAAAACAAAACAGAGGCAGATATTATATTGGGTTTCAAGCTGAAGATCAGGAAAGCAAAGCAACCAAGCCACCAGAGAGCTCTTACTTCTACCAAGGCTGGGAGATCCTCTCCTCAATGTAGCAGGAGACTAGTTGCCAGAATCTGAGACCCTGCTCCTACTTTATATACCTCTCTCGTGCTGGGACTAAAGACCTGAGCTCTGTTTCTCTTTTAGACTGATTCACTCTCATGTAGCCCTGGGTGGCCTTGACCTCACAGAGATCCATCTTCCTGTCTCCTCTATGGCTGACTATTGCGGCTGGCTTTGCATTCTGATCTTCAGTGGTTTTATTAATCACAAACAATATATCACACATACAACCATTGAACTCTACACTGTTTTTGGTCAAGACAGTTGTCTCACTCTGTAGCCCTGGTGGCTGCAACTTGCTATGATGACCCAGTCAGTAGCTTTTAATGTGTGGCGCCTATCCTGCTTCTGCCTACTGTTTCCAGGTATTAAATACTTTTGTTTCTAGATCCATTTACCTCATGTATTTATGTATCTTATGTACTCTGCCTGCAAGCCAGAAGAGGGTGTTAGATCCCATTATAGAAATGGTTGTGGTGCCTGGGAAAAGAACTAAGGACCTCTGAAGAACAGCGAGTACTTTTAACCACTGAGCCATCTCTCCAGCCTGAAATGTTATTTTCTTAAATGTTTGTTTTCCTGGAGTTTTTATTCTATTTATTTATTTGGTCATAGGGACTGTACATGTGTAGAGGTTGGAGTATAAAATAGGAGCAGGGCCAGTACCAGGGATCAAACACAGTCTTTACCTGTTAAGCCATATTTCCACTCCCACGAACACACCTTAAAAAATACATACTTCTACGGGCAGTGGTGGCACACACCTTTAGTTCCAGCACTCAAGAAGCAGAGGCAGGAGGATCTCTGTGAGTTTGAGGTCAGCCTGGTCTACAAAGCGAGTTCCAAGACAGACTCCAAAGCTACACAGAGAAACCCTGTCTCGAAAAACAACAACAACAACAAAAAGAAAATCATTAACCAGGTGTGGTGACACACATCCGGCAGGCATTGCAGGTGTGTTGGACCCTTCCCCCGGAGGGACTGCTGACCAGCTTGTGACTAGGAGTGAGCATGCCCTGTTTCCCTCCTTCCAATTAGGCCTGTATGCAAGTTCCTGTTTTCTGCCCATGCTTATTGTCTAAATTCAAGTTCCTGCTATCTGCCCATTCTTTGCTGGAGGGCCCTGGGAACGTGAGCTCCTGACCTTGATAGTTTTCCACCATGCCAGCTTACTGGTATTCAATGTTCCGCTCTTGTTACAATAGACGCCATTCTGCTTGCAAGAATGAGCCACTGTCTTTTGTCTTCATTTAAATCCTCAGGTCCTTGCCCGGATCACTGAGAAGTGTTATAGCGGGAGATCGTTACACAGGTGAATCTCTGTGAGTTCAAGGCTAGCCTAGTCTACATATTGAGTTCTAAACCAGCTACAGCTACATAGTGAGATTGTTTTTAAAAAAGAAAAAAAGAAGCATTACCATCCATTCCATTTTGGCTTTAACCTGGGAATAGGCAAGTAGATGTGGTAAAGATAGCACTGGCTGAAAACTAGGTGAGGCTTCTACAGTTGTGCAGGGGAAAGGGTACCAGAAGAAGCAACGGTGCTGTTTAAGGCTTCAAACACAGAAGTCTGTGTGCTTCATGATGCTGGGCTTGTCTCCTCTGCTATCAGTTAAAGCACAGAATGCCCAAAAACAAACGAACAAGGAGGAGGGCAGGACAAATGGAATAACTAGAACATTTGGGAAGAAGTCAGCGAATCCAGACAGCTTCTCACCAGAGTTCTCGGCACATCTAATCCTGCTTGGCGAGAGAAGAGACTGACTTGGCCAGTTCCTCTCCATCTTAGACACACACGCTTACATTGTTATTTTATTCCACTTTGGTGACCGACCCTGTAGTCCATCAGATGCATCCACATAAGGCGCTAGGGCTCAGGCTCCACAGTGATTCTGAATTATAAAATGATGAAGTCCCAGTGTAAGCAGTTTCTGGTTACACGGTGGTAAGGGGTGTGTCTGAGTCTCTCTTGCGGAATATCCAGCACCAGTACAGGTCTGGCCAGATGATTCTCCACCTCTCTCCATGGCCAGGTGCCAACATGCTCAGCCTGGGCTACCTCTGCTGGGCCAGAACTAGTCTTCTGAACCAGGAACTCACAGCGCCATCCACTCGCATCACCAAAGCTATGCCCAGGAGCAGCCCCACACTGCTCACAATGAAACCAATGGCTTCAAAGATGAACCTGTGAAGAAAGGTGGAGTATTTCAGGACACAGGTGATACGTCTAATGGCTTTCCCTAAAGAGGCAAAACCTTGTCGGCCTATGACAGCCAGAGTTTCCTTAAAGTCTCTTTCCACACCACTTCTCCTCAAGCAAAACCACTTACTTGGGGGCAAACACCTTCCAGACCATGAGATGCCTTCGAAGGATGGAAGCTGCCAAGGCACAGGCTAGAATCTAAGGCAAGAGCGGCAGGCAGTTACTTTGGAGGAAGCAAGGCAAAGGAGGGCATCAGTGTAAACCACTGGAAAACACCCTGGGTTGGGAGTTAGGAAACCCAGTTCTTGTCCCGGTCCAGCCACTGACTCATGTGAACTTGGGCAAGTCACTATTCATCTGTGATGCTGACATTCATGCTTTGCCTTCCAGCAGAGGAAGACGTCAGTAACCCATCTCTGCCTCTGGATCAGTTTGGAAAAGAATCCTGGCCATAACCATGGCTTCCCCAGTACATCTGAAATGCAATGAACAGGGCCCAGATCTACACAGCAGAGAAGAAATGACCCAGGATTGGAATAAGAAAACCCAAGCCAGGTCTCAAATCTGCCATTTGAGGTCTGAATTTGAGCAATCATTTCACTTATCTGAACCTCCATCAAGCATCATTCCCAAGGTATTTGGAGCTAAAACAAAGTATAAGGTGCATACTGGGGGACAGGCCATCAGCTCCGTCACATCTCCCCTGTACCCACCTGAACTCCAAGGACAAAGAGGTACTTGAGGCCCAGCTGCAACAGGGCTGCGTTGAAGTGGTGCGGGGCATCCCGGAGGCGCATTTCCATCAGCGGCTCCTCTCGCTCCTCCTCAGGCCTGGCTCTGGCCTCAGCTTCACAACCTGGGAGCTGCTGCCTCTTCCTTGGCCCTTGACTCTCGCACAGGAAGGGCCAGAGCAGGAGCAGCGGGCAACCTACTGCCTCCGGGAGGACAGGGCTGGCATCAAGGGGGAACCCCGGGACCCGCCCAACCCGGTCCCCAACCACCCTGGTTGGCTTGGGCTGCAGAGAGCTAAGGGCCACGGGACTGCAAAGAGCCAAAAGAATTGCGTCTTCCCTTCCAGATCCCAAACTTTCCCTTCTTTCCACAAAGTTGGAGCCAACAGAAGTTAGGGAGGGAAAGCAAGGAGGAACCTGCAAAGAGGATGTGGGAGGCAAAGGTGTTAGCTCCCACGAGGAGAGCAGGCAGCCACGTAGAGGAGTCATGGCCGTCTGGGAATCCCACGAAGGCTGCATGCCAATGGATGGCGGAAAAGACAGGCTGGTGGCCCGTGGAGTAGAAGGTCTGGTTGGCCAAAAGGGCCCAAGCTGAGACTGCCTGCCACAGCACAACAAAGGGACCTGGAAGAAAACATATACTTCTTTACAATTACTCCCTGTCCCTAACCTACAGCTCTCTCTTCTGGCATCATCCACTCCTAGCACTTGAGCAAATCTTGGCACACAGTCACATGCTACCCCGGCCTTCCTTACAATCAATGCTGCTATTCTAATTGTCTCAGTGCTGCAAGTCATACCACAAGACCACAGGGTTCACTTTCTTTCTTTCTCGCAAAGAGGTCACTATGCCATACTATATTCATAATGTATCACTTTTGTAACTGGAAAATCAGGGAATGTGCTCACGGGGAGACACATTTCACTAAGAAGTAAATCCTGGGGCTGGAGAGATGGCTCAGAGGTTAAGAGCACCGACTGCTCTTCCAGAGGTCCTGAGTTCAATTCCCAGCAACCACATGGTGGCTCACAACCATCCATAATGAGATCTGGTGCCCTCTTCTGGTGTGCAGACATACATGCAGGCAGGATGTGGTATTAATAATAAATAAATAAAATTAAAAAAAAAAAGAAGTAAATCCTGAAGTCCCTATCTCCCCTCTCTGGCAGGGGGACTATTATGGTGATGGCAGAAAAGGGAGGACATCAGGAAGAGCTTCCCAACTGCAAAGACACGAGACCATACACATGTCAAGGTGCGAAACATCTACCTCAAAACAAGATGCATCAGGGCTAAGTTTCCTGTTTACCTGTGGTGGTGACTGATGTCCCGGCAGCAAGCAGATGCAGGAGAAGGAAGCTCTGCAGAAACAGGAGCAGGAACACAAGGCTGACACGCTCTACATGCAACAGCAGAAGTGGGAAAGCCAAGAGGATGAGGGCTGTAACCATAGCAGCCGAGTAGACACTTCCCAGCTGATATGCAGCCACAGTAACAGGACCCTGTGTTCTGGTCCTCTCTAGCCGGCCCTGGAACTCTTCCTGCATGTGGCGGTAGATTTGTGGGACCACATAATCTAGGTCAGCCTGAGAAGTAGGGGGACCTGAGAAGGGAGTGAGGATAGTCCTGGTCCTTGAAGCCCCAGCCCCGGCCTTCACCAGCACTGTCACAGGCCTCCACAGCAGCAGCATGAGCCCCGAGGCAGCTAGCCCCATCACAGCCCGAGGCAGCATAACTGAGGCCCCAGCAACCAGGGCCCGGAGACGTGGTGGTGCCTCATCTGCCCCAGATGCCAATGCCCAGTAGGCAGCCGTGCCTAACACCATGAGAGGCAACCCCCAGCGCACGAAGAGCACGGGGGGCTCAGGACTCTTGAGATTACCATAGCGGCGAAGCCATAGGCGCACAACAACTAACAGAGCCACCAGTGCCCCCACACAAGCTCCGTACCACAGATTCTTGGCTTGACCGCCCACCATAGATGCCAAAGGGCTCAGCCAGGGAGAGGAGTGGCAAGCAGGTGTCTCTTCAGGGCAGCGATGAAAAAGCCCAGAGAGCCTTGTGCATAAAAGCAACCCAATTCCAAGCCTCAGGGCGTATGTGCCACTGTGCCTCGGGGGGCCTGTTGGTGCAGACGAGCCAAGGCGGGGTACGGTAAGCAGTTTAGGCTGCAGCAGCTGGTCCTCCCAGTGAAGATGGGCAACCAGGAATAGGATGAGAGAGCACAAAAGGAAGGGAGTGGCCCTGGCCTCAGCAACAACAAAGCTATCAGAGAAGAAGGTGGCCAGGCGAGTGAGCAGGAGTAACAGGACAGGTAGAGGGGCAGGAAGTAGGGGCACCAGGGGCCTGGTGGATCCCCAGTTAGCCCAAACTTTCCACAGGAAAGGGGGGAGTGAGCCTGCTGCAGCTACAGCCCCCAGAACCACGGAATCCACTTTGGATCCTGTAGTTACCGAGAGTCCAGCATAGAGCATGGCCCAAGTTAGGCCCCAGGCTACAGGTGTCAGGAGTAATGGGCGGAAGGGAAAGCCTGGGGACACTGCCAGCTGAGATGCAAGCAGGCAGAGGAAGCAGGCGGCAGCCAGGAGAGCAGCACCCCCTGCCATTCGGACCAGAGAGAAACGGGCCCAAGACTCGAGGCATATGGCCCGAGCTCCCCGCAGGAACTGCTGCAACTCAGCAGTCAACGTCCTTAGGGAGGCCCCAGCCTCTTGGGGATTCTGCAGAAGCTGTTGGTAGCTAGCAGAGGCCTTGGAGAAGAGTTTCTGCAGCTGATGGAGCTCTTTAACCTGGAGATCCTGAGTAGCAGCTGAGTAAGCATGAAGAAATCGGGACACCTGGCAGGAAAGGTCAGACAAACAGAAATCGGTCAGAGAGATAAGCTGGGGCAGAGGTAAGGATAGGTGTTATACAAAGAGGTACCTGGACACCTGGGGCTCAGATTCCGTCCAGGATGGGGGAAGGGAAGGGTAATGGAAGAAGGGGGTGGCTATGCTATGGGGTGGTCCCTGTGCTTAATCACACACAAGTCCATTCCTTTTACCTACCTGCTGGGCATTGATATGGAGAGCTGAGACTTGGGCTAGAGCAGAGGCCTGAGGATGGGAGCCATGGCCACCTGAGAACAGCTCAGTCATCACTTCCCCAATGTTCCCAAATGGGATGGGCAGGCCTAGCAGCAGCGCCAGTGTGGGCACAAGGCTGACTTGAGGGATAACCTCTGGCTCCTAGAAGGAAAGGACAGGCAGCAGTGGACTCAGGCCTAGGTAAGAATAGTGGGAAGGAGGCTCTGCAGAGACGGTCCAGCGGGGGAGAGCATTTGCTGCATAAGCAGAAGGGCCTGTGCCTGGACCACAGAATCCATGAGAAAGCTAGGCATGACCGTGCATGCCTGTAACCCAGTGCAGGGTGGGCAGATGGGACCGCTGGCCACCAGGATAGCTCCAGGTTGAGTGAGAGACCCCGTTTCAGTAGAATAAGGTGGAGAGTGACACAGCAGGACACCCAGTGTCCTCTGGCCTCCTTGCATACACATAAGTGTGCATACCAGCACACACACAATGCACATATGTCACATATATACATCTCTCTGTCTCTGTCTCTCTCTCTGCGTCTCTCTCTGTGTCTCTGTCTCTGTCTCTCTCTCACAGACACACACACAAATAAATGAGAACGGGCCAGATCATGGTGTGAGGGCCTAAACTAAAGGGATCACAGGGTGGGGAGACCAGAAGAGGTCCAACGCGGGCCTCACCTCTGGTGGGGCAGTAGGGAAGAGGGCTGTGGGGCTGTACAGGAACAGTGCAGCCGAGACCTCCAGCTCACTGTCCCCTCCATGGTCCCCATTCATAGTCATCCCGTGGTCACCAGCTACCACCAGCAGCGTGTCATTCTCCAGACGTTCGATGAGTCCCCTGAGGGCCAAGAAATGTGTCAGAGGGTAGGGAGATTCTTCTCAGGGGCCCATTTAACTCCACCACTAACAGGGCCAAACTTCTGGCAAAAAGATACCCCTTCAGCCAAAACCCTGCCGCCCAGAGCTACACACCAAGTTATTCAAAATGGATGGTGCCCCCAGGTTTTGGGGGAAAGCCTGTATAAAACAATTCAGAGCCAGAGCATGGTGGCACACGCCTCTAATCCCAGCTCTTGGAAGCCAGAGGCAGGCGGATCTCTGGGAGTTTGAGTCCAGCCTGGTCTGGTTTATATTGCAAGTTCAAGGTCAGCCAGAGCTACACAGCTACATAATGAGACCCTGTCTCAAAATACACACACACACACACACACACACACACACACACACACACACACACACACAGGCACGCATGCACGCACGCATGCACCCACGCACACAGGTCCCCACCCACCCACCCAGGGAAGAGGCTACAAATAAGATTTGTTTGTTTGTTTGATAAAATCCTATGTCCTGATATTCTCAAACATAAACCCATTTCCTCCACCAATATCCCACACTCACTGGATCACCTGGTCCATCTGGCTAAGTTTCTTGGCCATTTCAGGGTGGTGAGGGCCATGCTTGTGACCACAATGATCCACGCCCAGGAAGTGAGCAATCAGCACATCCCATTCGCCGCTGTCCACTGTGGAGGGGAGAACACTGAGCACGGGGCAGCAAAGCCCACTCCTCCCCCAAGCCAGGCCTTGGCATTCCTCTGTGCCAGGGAGTCAAGCACAGGCTCTGTCACACCCTGACTCTGTACAAGCACCCTCCCCATCGCCCAGAGCTGGGCTGGGCCTAAGTGTCCTTTCCCCATGCTCACTGGTAGGATAGAGGTGTTCTAGGATGCCATTATCCACCGTGTGCGGGGCCTAAGTGTCCTTTCCCCATGCTCACTGGTAGGATAGAGGTGTTCTAGGATGCCATTATCCACCGTGTGCAGGTCTCTCACGTTGAAGGATGAGAAGAAGAAAGCTTGGGAAAAAGCTCCAGGGAAAAGGTCTTTCCAGGTGTCATCTCCCATGAAAACTATACGCCTTCCTGCAGAGACAAGAGAGGAATCAGAGCGGATCTTGTTCATGTGAGAACCAGAGCAGGGGAGAATATGAGAGAAGACTCTAAAAACCCATCAGAGAGCAGGTCAGTGGGTCAAAGTGCTTGCCACCAACCCTGACAACTTGAGTTCAATACTCAGAGCCCACATGGTGGAAGGATAAAACGAGTTTCTGAAGTGTTGTCCTGTTACCTCCACATATACACTGTGTGTGTGTGTGTGTGTACGTACATATCCAATAAGAATCTCAACCACACATCCCCAAGTATAGGAATTCATTCAGCATCACCAAAAATCTCCCACACTCCCTCTGGACCTGTCACTTCCATTCCTACAAAATGATCTGCTACCAGTCTAGGGTATCTGAGGACATGTATGTTTGTTTTGAGGACATGTATGTTTGTTTTGAGACGGGTCTTATTATGTAGACCAGGCTAATCTGGAACTCAGAGATCCTTTTGCCTCTGTATCTTGATCTCTGGGATTAAAGGCACATACACCATGTTCTCCCCTTGACCTGTTTTTTTTTTTTTCTAAGCAGCCAGTGAACACAACTTAGATGCCTCTATTCTTTTCTCCACACTTACAAGCCAAGATTCCTGCCATAATTTCTTTCTTAATTGGGAGTTCCCAAGAGTTAAACATTTTGTGCACATTAGAAGCACCATTAAGGACAAAAATCTCTTGATGTCTCCACCAACAAGATCCTATCTATTTCTACTTCCCAGTTTCCTTACACCATAGTCAAACATAAAGCTGGAATCCTTAAGTCCTGGCTCCCTAACTTCTTAGTTTTTATCTTATTTTATGTGCATTGGTGTGAAGGTATTAGATACTCTGGAACTGGAGTTAAAGACAGTTGTGAGCTGCCATGTGGGTGCTGGGAACTGAACACAGTCCTCTGGAAGAGCAGCCAGTGCTCTTAACCCTAGAGTCATCTCTCCGGCCCCACCTCCCTAACTTATAAAGGCCCAGATTCACCTGGCTTCCAAAGGGGTACATACTGACCTGCACTGGTGAGCTGCTTAATGAGATTATCTTCCACTATAGCATGGCTGGCAAAGTTACTGCCAGCATCAACAAAAGTAGGCAGTGAGCCGGTGGTGAGAGCCTTGAGACGCTGCATGGTGGTCGTGGGGGGATCCACCTGAGATTGGTATAGCCGGGCATGGTGGGGTTGAGTCTCTAGGATCCTCTGCAAGGAGCCCAATTTTCCCAGAAAAGGCACGGAGACAGCAGGTTCCCCAGGTACATATGAGCGCTGGGGCTGGGCAAAGTCAAATCGCAGAGCATCTATCAGCACCAACACAACCCTGGAGAACCGGGAAGGCATCCAGCAGGCCCCAGGCTTTCCTTGGCTCCCCCATGGCGGGGAACCAGGGCCTGGGGGCTCTTGGCAGCTGCTTTGGTTGGTGAGCTCCAAACGGGTGAGAAGGAAGCCACTGGTGAAGAGTGCAATGCCAGCATAAAAAAGAAAACAGACCCAGGCTAAGAAGAGGAGCACGGGGACCTTCTGCATCCTGGTAGAGAAGAGGAAATTTTCATTGTGGTGTAAAGACAAGAGTGGACATTTTGGCGCTCAAAACAATGCGCAACACCAACCACTTACTGCTATAAACTTCAGGATGTGAACAACTCATAGCCAACTCATTCCAGCCGTTTCTACCAGTCACACCATCTGAGGGGGAGATGCTGAGACTGATCTCAACCTGGAGCCGACGCTACACCTACTGATTCAGGCTCTTGGCGTGAGCACAGAATCCTGTGCATATACAACCAGGAGACTTAATGCTGTCAAACCACAGTCTAGAAGGAAGACTATTCCAGTTGGTAGGTGGATGGTTCTCTGTCAGTTCATTTCAATGAATAATCCCTGCGGACTAACTAACTCAACATTCCTAGGGTGGTAACAGACACCGGATTGAGTGAACGGCGCCGCCTGGCGGGGACCGAGGAGACGAGGGGGAGGAGTCACGCTCCGCTTCCGGGCGGCCAGGATCTACAGAAAACTCGGAACGGCGTCCCCGGGAACCCCGGTACAGTACAGAGCCTGTGGACCTAAGCTGGGGTCCAGCAGTCCGGGCGGCTCTGTCTCCTCCGGTGGGGACCCGGCCAACACGTGGGCACGCGCATTCCGGTGCGGGGCAGCCCGGCAGCAAGCTGAGGCACCTGTACTAGGGGTGACGGCAGTAGAGGGTTCTCGGGAGACCTTGGCTCACCTGGATCCGCGCCCGGAAGTGCGGCGGCGGTGCCTGCAGCCTGACACCACAGAGGTGTGCACGTCTGACAGAGCGCCCTACCGGGAGATTCGTCGCCACCTGCCGGCGCCAGGGTGGAAGTTCGACAAGGGACGCAGGTCTGGCAAGTTTGATGGCCGATTCAGAAACTCTTAAATGGGGCCAAGGAACTAATCTAAGAGTGGGGAGGACGGACGACCGGGTATGTACATAAACATGAAAGAAAAAAAATTCAGGGAAACACTGTCTTTTTTAAAATATGCATTTATTTTTATGCGTGTGTGTGTTTCGTGTACCTAAGTGTACCAAACGCTGCAATTGCTCTCAACCACTAAGTCATCTCTCCACATTCACTATCCATTTTGTTGTTGTTCGTTTTTTGACACAAGGTCTATTGTACAGCTCTAGCTATCCTGGATCTTGCTATGTAGGTCAGGCTGGTCTCGAACTCAGAGATCTGCCTGCCTCGGCCTCCTGAGTGCTGGGATTAAAAGCATGGGCCACCACACCCAGCCTTAAGTCCCCATTTTTTTATTGAAACTAAGAGCACGGCTTCTGGAGTCAAATCTGACTAGAGCCTTAGCTCTGTCAGTTTTGTCACTGGGCCTTATCATCTGTAAAATAACACTGGGCCGGGGAGACAGCAGTTAGAGTGCTCGCCACATAATTGGAAAGACTACAGTTTGAGTCCCCAGAAACCCACGGAAATGCTGGGTGAGCATGTGGCCTACCTGCAATTCAGTCCCAACAGGCTACTGCCAAATCTGGCTAGCTGGACTGTTCATACTGTCAAGCTCTGAGTTTGATTAGCAGACTCTACTTCAATGAATATGGTAGAATACAGATGGAGGATTATTCTTGACAACACACACACACACACACACACACACACACACACACACACACACACGCTCGCGGACACAGATACACGGACACATGCACGTGAGACATAGAAAAACCTTTTTCTCCTCCGTGTTTAGCTGATTCCAGTTGATAGCATTCATCACTGCTCTCAAAACTGATGAATCTTAAAAATGCATTAATAGCCGGGCGTTGGTGGTGCACGCCTTTAATCCCAGCACTCGGGAGGCAGAGACAGGCGGATCTCTGAGTTCGAGGCCAGCCTGGTCTACAAAGCGAGTTCCAGGAACAGCCTCCAAAACAATACAGAGAAACCCTGTCTCGAAAAAACCAAAAAAAAAAAAAAAAAGAAAAAAAAAAAAAAAGAAACCCAAAGCCCTCTTCTGACACTCAAAGACTTCAGGCACATGTATGGTACATATACATACATGTGAGCAAAAAAAAAATCAGCACATAAAAAATCTAATTAATAAAAATCAAATAATACAATTTAAAGATGATTTCTCTAAATAAAGGTACACATAGCCAGTAAACACATGGAAAGACTCTGAACATCATTAGCCAGCTGGAAGGCACTAGAAGGAGCACTTTACATGTACTAGTTGGGACTGTGGGTGTAGCTCAGCAGTACAGTTCTTGACTGGCATACGCAAGTCTCTGGGTTCGATCCAAAGAAAACAGCAACTGGAATGCTAGCTACTTAGGGAGGATTGCCACAAGCTCAAGGCCAGCCTGTGCCAACAGAGACCCACCAAGGAGGAAAAAAGATGATTGCAAGTATTAGCAAGGCTGTGCAGAAGCTGGGACCTTCACACACTGGGACTGTGAAATGCGGCAGCAGGGCCAGAAAACAGCTGCTCACAGACTTAGCTGCTATAGTGCTCAGAAATTCCACACCTGCAAAGATCCCCAGGCGTGATGCTTAATGTTAACTAAAGTCACCTGGGAGATGGGCCTCTGACATGCCTGTGGGGCTTGTCTTGATTAGGTTGTTAAGGTGGGAAGACGTGTCCACTGTGGGTGGCACTATTCCCTAGGCAGGGGACCCTGAACAGGACAAGGGTGAGCTGAGTGGTAGTAAGCACGCAATGAGTGCATACTCTCATTATTCTCTTCTGGTTACAGATGTAATGTGGCCAGCTGCTTCAAGTTCTGTGGGTTTTTAGTTTCTTTTTAGTTATTTGTGTTGTGTGTGAGTATGTGCTTGTGAGTGCAGGTGTATTGTGGAGGTTGGGGTGTCGCATTCTGATGGAGCTGGAGTTGAAGAAGGTTGCAGTTTCCCTGATGTGGGCACTGGGAAATGAACTCTGGTCTTCTGCAAGAGTACTACATGCTGTTAACCAGTGAGCCAGCTCTCCAGCTTTACTGCTGACTTCCCTATCATGATGGACTGTAACCTGAAATTGTTTGCTAAATAAACATTCTCTTTTAGATGTTTTTGACAGAGTACTTTATCACAGTAATAAAAAGAGAGACTAACACACCAAGATAAATTAAAACTTTTCTTTAAAGACACATTTAAATAAAAATCTATATGTGCCAGGTGGTGGTGGCACACACCTTTAATCCCAGCACTTGGGAGGTAGAGGCAGGTCGCTCTCTGTGAGTTCAAGGCCAGCCTGGTCTATGAAGCTAGTTCCAGAACAGCCAGAGCCACACAGAGAAAGCCTGTCTCCAAAAACCAACCGAACAAATAAAACATACATGCAAACATGCAAAGTAGCATCTAGAATTACCAAAAAATAAAAACTCAAATTTCTATTAGTGAATGGGTAAACAAAACCTGGTGTGTGCATGCAACAGTTTTCATGGGGGGGAGAGCCATGCTATAAATTTGTGCTTACATATAACCTGTAAAATATATTAAAATTTACTGAATTTGTTATTTAAAATAAGGAAGTTGGGTGATGGAAGTGCACCTCAATTGACAGTGCTTGCCTAGCATGTATGAAACCCTGGGCTAGATCTCACGAACAAAACCCTGGGCTAGGGGCTGGAGAGATGGCTCAGAGGTTAGGAGCACTGGCTAGTCTTCCAGAGGTCCTGAGTTCAATTCCCAGCAACCACATGGTGGCTCACAACCATCTGTAATGAGATCCCATGCCCTCTTCTGGCATGCATGCCAGAATACTGTATGCATAATAAATAAATAAATCTTAAAAAAAACAAAAACAAAAAAAACCCTGGGTTAGATCTCATATACAAAACCCTGGGCTAGATCTCCAACACCCCGAAACACCTGGCATAGTTGCATACATCTGCAATACCAGCGCCTGAGAGATAAAGACAGGAGGAACAGACCTGTAAGGTAATCCCAGCTAGTTTGGGGCTAGGCTGGGATACATGAAACACTGTCTCAAAAACACTAAGTAGTTAACTAACTAAAAACATAACACACATAAAATGGGTAAGTTGGCCGAGTATGGTGCACATACTTATATAGCACTTGGAAGCTGAAAGCAGGTAGGCCACAAGTACAAGATCAGCCTGGGCTACACAGAGAGCCTATCTCCAGAAACAATAAAATGGGTAGTAGTTTGTAGGATATGTGAGTTTTTTCTCAGTATGAAAAACAGCTCGACTTTCTTTTGGTTTCTTAGTAAATAAGGGGCACCTACCTACAGGAATCCTACAAACGTACTTAGTTCTTCCTTTCTCATTAAATATATCTAGTTACTAGGTCTTTGCTTCTGTTAACTAGCCATAGCAGTTCCAATGCTCTTGTGTTTATAGGCCAGATATGCTCTGCCTCTCAGCATTTATAAACTCCCAACACCTTCATTTCCAGATCACCAAATGGGTCTCTTTCCCCTCCTTTATATCCAAGTTCTGATATAATTTTCATCGAAGTTTCCTGGAACTCAAACTAACTACGTTAGTTCTTTCATCTGAGCACTGACTCTAAAATGTTAAGTGTATGAGTGTGCACGTGCCAGAGGTTAGAGAAGGACTTTGTGAAACTGGCTCTTTTGTCTACCTTTTACCTGGCTTCAGGGATCCCACTCAGGTCCCTTGGCTTGCACAGCAAGAAGCTTCACCTACCTTACCAGTCCGGTTTATGAAATCAGAGCTTCCATGGGCTCCCTAACTCACTTTGTATTCTGTGAAAGCAGATGTCACTAGGGTTCAATTTTGTTGTTGCTGCTTTGAGAGAAGGTCTCACTAAGTACTTCAGGCTGGCCTTGAAGTCACAATCCTGCTGCTTCAGCCTACCAAGTGCTGAGATTTTAGGTATGCATCACCTTGGCTATCTTTTAACTGCTCTTATAATCCGTAGTTGTTGCCTTAACATTCTGCTTGGTACACGGCAGCCATTAAATGGTTATGGATGAAAGAGATACACCCTCAGCCCTTCAAGACCTCCAAAGTACCATTCTGCCAAGGCAGTCCTCTTTTCCCATGGTTCACCGAACACCCGCACCACGTAGCAAGATGGGGACAACACCCTCCAGCTGGCAGTTCAGTAAACGCATGCTTTAATCCCTCCATGGTGTAGTGTCCCTTTAAGACAGGGTGATTTCATGTCACATCAAGTTCATTCTTGTCATGGAGAATCAGCTCTCCAGACCTACCTGGACTGAAGGGTGGGAGTGGACATCCAAAGAAAACGTTTCAAAGAGAACAGTTTCCAATTTGCCACTGATAAGTTTATTACATGATTATTAAGTTCAAATAAAAAAATAAAAACTAAAACTTTGGCAGGGAGGCTAGAACCAGAATCTGAGAGTGCTATTCCCCGTCCTCCACTCCCTGGCCAGGCTGTCTCCTTAACTGAGCTTGACTCTACCTAGTTCTTCAAGATTTGCATCTGTACCCTGGGCATCTCTGCTGTTCTTGCCAGAGTTCTTCGATTCGGGCACTGGGGCTTTGGTGAGCGCCCCATACACACCCATGGCCTGAGGAGAGAGAGAGAGAGAGAGAGAGAGAGAGAGAGAGAGAGAGAGAGAGAGAGAGAGAGAGAGAGAGAGAGAGAGCACAGTAAGGACATTCTGCAGAAGTTCCGTCCCAAACTACTTAAAAGGGGCTACTTGACTCTTTCATTTCTTTCCTTCCCTTTTCTCTTTGAGCCTTGCCTTCCCGTCTTTTTCCTGAGACAAGGAGCCTAGGTAGGCCTCTAACTTGTGAACTTCCTGCATCTCCTC